CAACTCTTGGAAAAGCTATGCTCCTTGAAGGCCAGGCCAGCAAGACTTTGTCTTACATACTTTGGACATGTGGTCTCAGAAGAGACAAGTCCCTGGAGAAGGATGCCATGCTTGGTAAAGCAGAGGAAGGCCCTGGATGAGATGTATTGGCATAGTGAATGTACAGTGAACTTTAGCATAGGAACAGTGGTGAGGATATCACAGGACCGGGTAGCGTTTCCTTCTGTTGGCCATAGGGTTGCTATGGGTCAGAACGGACCCAATGGTACCTGGCAACAACAGTCGCCAGAACCTTCTGAGCTGACCTCTTGGCCTTAAATGTAACTGGCCCAGCCAATCTCGTCAGAAGGCAATTTTTGATGGAATCCTTTTTGTGACGGCATCCAGAGGAGATTAAGTCAAATGTGTTACTGAGAGAACTTGTCTGCAGCTATCCCCTGATCGCAAAGACGTGTCTAGACACATCTTACTTGAAGTATACCCAAAAATGATGAACTGGAGCCCGCGCAGCACTACTTTGTGACTTTCCCTTGTATTTTGCCTTCACAAGTTTATGCCCAGCCCAACCCCACAATCTCTCCAGCAAGTAACCTTTGCAGGAAGAGGACTATTTCCTTCATTACAAGCCACAAGACAACTGATACATTTTAATATCTCCTTGGGTACAAAAATGTATTTGATATTTGGTCTGGGGAGGGGAACCGGGAAAGAAGTTGATTATATCACCAAGGTATACCAGAATAAATACTTGTCTGTGACTGGAACTTTCAAAGATTAAGAAGAAATCTTGCTCAAGGAAATTTTAAAATGCTAGCAGTCATTTACTAATATGGAATTGTGCTGGTGACTAATGCAGAGTGTTGTTTAAACAGAGTCATTAGAGAATGTAGACAAGCCATCTATAATATAAAAGAAAATCCATCTGGGGCTGGAAGGAGGAAATATTTCAGAAGTAGTAAATCTTGATTTGAGGAGAGTTCATGCCTCTGTGTAATAAGGCACCAGATAAAATGCTATGGGTGGTGGTGGCGGAGAGAAAAACATTGAAAACAAACATGTAAGCTGTTTAAATAGCATTTTTAAAACAACTCCCATTGATCGTGTTGGCAGGCTAAGAAGCTAGACAGGAAGGGATCTGAGAATCGCACCCATGCAAAATGACCCAGTCAAACTATTTAATACTGGCTCTATGGGAAGAACTGCCAAGAAAATAATAAGCAAAACATTCTTAGGATTGCAAAAAGTCTCAAATGCACTAATGTTGCTAAGAAAACAGGATGGTCATTCAATAATCAAAGGAAGGGGCGTTGGCAGTCCACCAGTGTTCAAAATCCCAGCCAAGTTTGTACGTGGACCCTGGTTCTGAGACCAGTCATGGAAATGGCAAACGAAGGTTACAGGGACAAGGGTTCTCGGCAGGCAGGGTGCTGTCTCACGTACAAGCGCAAGTCTCCTGAAAGGAAATAGGGCGAAGATTGTGATGTCATTTCACTAGCATTTTTATGAGTGATGAAGAAATTTTGAATGAAAAGATAACTTCATGAGGAGGAATAGAGAGATATTAAATGAAGTCATGTGAAATCTGGAATGGATCTTCCTTTTTAGTTCTTTTTTCCTTTAGGGACCTTGACACGGGGCTGTAGGTTCCTGCCCTGAATGTGCTCTTCCTGGAGCAAGATGAGGCTTTCTATTCCCGTAAACATGCACCGCCTCGGAACCCCGAAAACCACTCCACTAGTCAACAGAAGAGGATGGTGATTTGAGACCCATCTGCCTCCAAAACTGTGTCAATTCCCACTGTGCTACACTGCCATCCTCACTTTCCCAAGCAACCAACCAGCCAGCCAGCCAGCCAGCCAGCCAACCAACAACTCTTCACAAGGAGAGTAGAGGGGAAGTGTCCCCAACTGCCCTCTCCTGCTGGGTCCCCTTAAAGGTGCTTCTGCAGGCAACTGTCAGCAACAGAGCACCTAAAAAAGAAACTGAAGAGATTAGAGGGCTTTTTCTTGGATTTCCTTAAAGCAAACACCTATTTTTTTCATATTTGGGACGAGAACATTAAGTGGAATTCAAGTTTCTTCCTGCTGTTCAAGGAGATTAGTTCCCATTTTAATGTTTCTAAATGTCTTTGCCACGAATTGAGACAGAAAGGATTCCCGCCAGGATTGGCAAATTTTCAACTTGTCAGATGAAAGACACATTGATTTTGGCCCCCCAGACAAAAAAGCAAACCCCCTGCAGTAGAATCCATTCAGGCTCATAGTGACTCTGCCGGAAAGAGCTCCTTAACGGTGATGAGACTGCACATGTTTCCTGGAGCAGACAGCCTCTACTTTCTATCCCCGGGGTCTTCCCCACCACACATATGCTCAGCGCTTCGATTTCTCAGTTTCTTCCCGTACTCATTCCAGCCTTTACAGTGTTAACCCTTGAGAGAGCTCCCCTCAGACGTGTCCCCTTTCACCTGGCTGTAAAGAAGGAAAGGTTACCAATGATAGGAAAGCAAAGGGAGATGGAGAGAAAGCAATAAGTTGCTGAAAATGAATTCTTCAGCCAGCAGTAAGGGTTTGGGAGCATCCGATCGAACATGCAGAATTTGAGCTGCACAATGGTCTTGTACTCACTTTTGTGTGTGTGTGTGTGTGTGTGTGTGTCTCACAGCTCTTATAACATTCTATACATTGATCGTATAAAACATATTTGTACACATGTTGCCGTCATTATTTTCTAAACATTTACTTTCTATTTGAGCCCTTGGTATCTGCTCCTCTTTTTTCCCCTCCCTTCCCCCATCTTACGCTCTGACCCCTTGACAAATTATAAATTATTTTTATTTTCATATTTTACACTGACCGATTCCTCCCTTCCCCCACAGTTTCTTCCTTCCTCCTCTCCCCACCTTCCCTCTACCCTCCTGTTATCGCTGCCAGGAGGATAGCGTTACTCACACTTCTTATGCATTTGAGAAGACCACTCAACCAAAGGTTCCCCCATATTGGGGGAAATGGAAGGTTCCAGAGCATGTGGATTGCGGAGCCATGAATTTTCAGGAAGGAAATCAAAAGAGGAGCATCAAGTACTTGAAAACCCTTTGTGAGGAGCAAGACAGAGGCACACCGGAGATGGCCCGGACCTTGGTGAGATCTGGAAGATTCCAGCAGAGCAGCTGACTGACAAGACTCTGGGAGTCTCTGGACCCTTCTTCTCACCTCCAGAGACCCCCCCTGGGATACAACTTGTGCACAGCCACAATGCACACTATGGTGCTTGCTGTGAATTTCTGTGTTAAAATGGTCTCCTTAGTCCTCAACGGAGAGACTACATCTACAGGTGTCTTTCCACATGTGGGAAAAACAAGGCAGAAGAGGTCAGGAGGAGGAGGAAGACAAACTGCCAGGAGGCCGCCAGCAAGGGACAAAGGACACAGAAGAGCCCTCAAGGCATCTAAATGAAGGATAGTAACAGAGTCGTTCAGCTTTGGGGTTGACCCACTTTCTCAGATGCCAAATGCTTTCTGGTTTGCACTGCGGGATGCCGCACCCCCTCTCCAGCTAATTCACAATAAAAAAAATTTTAAGTTCATTAAAAAAAAGATACCAATGCCTTATTTTCGCACAAACAGTTGTGCTTAAGGGCCTGGTGCCTCTGTGTTATTTTTTGTTTGTGATTTTATCTCTGGTTGCCTGAAAACCACTTGTAAACACAGAAGGCAGGTTTTTCTTGGATAAGAATGGACTATGAAATAGAATTTTCAACCCGTTTCATCAAGTTTCAATGCCTAAATCAAAACCCACGGCCATCGGTCCATTCTGACTCACAGCAATCCTACAGGATGGAATCGAACTGCCCAACATTTCTAAAGCTGAAAACCTTTACAGAAACAGAAAGCCTCATCTTTCTCCCACGGGGCAGCTGGTGGTTGACACTGCTGGCCTGGCCGTGAGCAGCGAGCATGTAACCCACGCCACTGCCAGGGCTCCTTCGGAAGTCTCAACATTGGTCAGGGCGGGAATAAAAGCAAGCATTTACTGCAAAGATCATTGCAACCCATCTTGTCAGTTTATTTGTAATTGTACAGCTCTCCCAAAGAATTGCCAAGTGAAACTACAGGTTAATAGCAATTTAGTATTATCCACTGTTGCTGCTACGAGTTATAATAATTAATCTGGCTAATCCTTTATTTTACAGAAATATAAAACAACTCCCCACCTTACACTGACACTGGCAGGCCAAGGAAAAATAGGCAGAAAATAACAAATTCTGAAAAGGGTGTGGAGAGAATGGAATTCTCAGATGCTGCTGGCTCATCTGTAAATGCACCACCATTGTGGAAAGCAATATGGTGCTACCTCAAACAACTGGGATTAGATATTTCCTATGAAGCAGCAGTACCTCTGCTGGCATATACCTTAAAGAAGTCAGAGCCGTAAGCTGCACAGACAGAAGCACACCTGTGTTCATCGAAGTACTGTTCGCAATCCTAAGGTTGGAAACAGCTAAAATGCCCACCAGTACAAGAATGGCTACAGAGGCTTGGGCGCATACATACAATGGACTACATGTGGCTGTCACACAATGACGAGACCACAAGACACCTTAGAACGTGCATGGGCCGGGAGAACCTTATGCCGAGTAAAGTTAGTCAATCACAAAAGGACAAGTAACAGACGAGACCACTAGTATAAGAATCAAGGCCCAGAGGGCCAGGGGAGCAAGGGCAAAGAGGGAGCGAGGGCAAAGAGGAAGGTTGACAGGTATTAATCGACTTGGATGAAGAGGAGAGAAATCGGGAGTGGATGGAATAGAACGGGATGTTGACAAGTGGTTTGAAATGTTCAATGCAGAGTTGATGGTCTGAAATGTAAACCCCACCCCCTCCTAATTCACAATAAAAATTTTTTTTCATTTACAAGAAGAAAGAAAATACTTCCCAGAGTTCCCAAGAATGTCCCTTGCAAAATGCAACTAAAAGTCGCTCTGAATATCAGCATCCTTCTTACCTTGAGCTCTCCTTTAGATTTCTCCCGTGCGAAGCTGAGACTCTGGGCTCGGAGAGCCGGAGACTCTATTTATTATCCAGAGCCTGGCAGAAAACCAAGCTTCCCTCGGAAGGGAGAAGTGGGCGGGTAAGGTTTTCATTCCATGAAGAGAAGCCGTTGAGTTAGTGGCCTCTCAACAGCTGAACTCGACTGCGTTCTGTCTTCTGCATCTTTCCATTTACCTCAGTGAACGATACATGCCGTGCCCCTGGCTTCTCCTTTCCAGTGCGCATCAGAATGCTCGCCCCCCAGCCCACCGTGTGTGTCCTCTTCTCTTCCATCTCCAGCCAACCACCCTCTTTGATCACATGCTTGATAGCTTGGAACCCTACTGACGTCACCTGAAGCACAAGGTGTTGGCAATGCTTTTGCCTGCTGTTCCTTCCCCTTAGGCGGAGGCATGGTGGTGTAGAGGATCGTGTCTTGGCCTGCTAACCACAAGGTCTGCAGTTTGAAGCCACCAATCTATCCTTGGGAGGAAGATAAGGCTTTCTACTCTCGTGAAGGGCTCCAGTCTCAAAAACCCACAGGGCCAGTTCTACCCTGTCCTGTGAGTCAGAATTCACTTGACAATTGTGAGTTTGGGCTCCTTCGTCAACCTTCACAAAGAGGTCTGACTCAGGTCATCTCCTTTGACATCTCAATAATATCTGTGCAGCATCCCTGCAAAAATAAAGCTCTCAGATACTCCCAGGATCTCACCACACCTGCCTGGGCTGCCCTGCCCCTTATCATTCATTGACTTTTCCATTCATCCTAAAGCCCCACAGAAGATGTATCATTTTACAGTAGAAGTAAATCCTGCAGCGTTGATCACATTTCTTCTTCCCCTGTGAGAAAATCCTCGCCCACATGGCTCTGCTCGATGCCTCTGACCTCTCCCATATGATCACAGCCGGAATTAAGGGGTGCAAGGATGTTCTTTTAAAACTTTAAGTGTTGCTGTATTCTAAGATCATGCATCAGGAGGAAGCCTGCAGTTATTCTTGAGAAAGATGTCAGGATGGAATAGTTTATTACACACACACACACACACACACACACACACCCCTAGCATGGCACCAACAGCCATCCAACCCACAAGGGGAGAAGAGTGAACTTGAACAAAAGAGGCACAAAAAATATTCTATAAAATTAAATAGCAGGATGATTTTTAACTTTTCTTCTTGGCATCTTCAGGAATAGATTCTGGGGAGGGGGCAGTGAACAACAGGGCTTGGGAAATCATATGACTGTTTGGTTTCCCCCACTCTGGCGAAGGGGATGGAGGAAATGAGTGGCAGTGTTTTTCTGTTATCTCCTCTGGAGTTGTTTCCCGTTCTGAGCCCATCTGTTATTTTCAAGCCCAAGCGGTCATCTGCTGCCGCCGAGATCTAGGGACTGGGGGGAGTGGGGTCAGTTCTAGGTTACCACAAGAAAGCCTACACCACCACAGAGTCATATGCATTTTTAAATTCCCCAAAGCATGTCGAAGTGATATTTACACTGCAGGCTTTGAAGTGTGCGGTACCAAGATGAAAAAGTCTGATGTGGGGAGAATGGCCAACATGGGACACAGAGACGTGAAGAGAGCAAATGTTCAGCACAGGATTGCCACACAGCTTCCATTTGTTTTTCAAAAAGTAATGCAATCTCTGGGAAGTGTCACAAAGTCGAGCTGAATAAAACCAGGTGTGCCTGTAGTTTTGTGTCTGTCGGAAAAGAAGGAAGACGGCTATGCCCGCCTTTGAGATAAAGCAGAAAAAAAGCTATCAATTCATGATGAGAGGAGAAAATTGTATTTAGAGCTAACTTCTCAGCACCTGGTTTGCAGAAGGATGTGGATGCCAATGAGAGTCCACCATCCATTGCAGAAACCCCCAGTAAATGAAGCCTTCGTGGACCGTTGACCAAGGATGTGAATAGCCAGGCCCTCTGACAGAGTGCAATGGAAAGTGGATTCATGCTGATCTCCCTTAGAGCTTACCTGGATGTATCTGTAGGGGAAGAAGCAAGGCCAGACCGCTCCTTAGAGGCAAGGATGGCAAGAATTTGTCTTACATACGTTGGATCTGTTGTCAGGAGAGATTAGCCCCTGGAGAAGGACATCATGCTTGCTAAAGTGGAGGCGCAGTGAGAAAGAGGAAGGCCCTGGACAAGATGGAAGGACATAAGAACCATCGTGAGGAAGGCGCAGGGCTGGGCAGTGTTTGGTTCTGTGGTCATGGGGTTGCTCTGTGTCAGAATCCACTAGGCAGCACCGAACAACAACAAGGACAAGGACAAGGACAGCCTTTCACACGTGTCCCTTATCAGCCAGGCATGGTTGAGTTTTGTTGTTTACTCAGTGTGACCGTCTTTGAACTCAAAGTTGATTGATTTTCATTTACTGCAAATGACGAATATGCGTTAGTTTATTTCTACCCTCGTGCTTTGATTTTGCTACTTTTGTTCCCGGTTTTGTGTTTCATTTTCTCTCCTTTCTCACTTTTTTTGGATTAATCTTTTTTTTTCAATGACTCAATTTCCCATCAGCAGTTCTAACACTTTCTCTTCAGCCAAGCAAGAGAGCCAAAAAAAAAACCCTGCCAGGAACTCAGCTCTGCTCCTTACAGGCTTTTGTTTCCTTGAAGACACTGCCTCCACACAGCAGGATAATTTCTTAAATCTTGAAAGAGAAAACTCACTGTGTGTCAGCTTCTGCGCTCCGCCCCTCACTTCCCACTGGAAGCTTACTTGTCCACAGCACGTTGGCTCCTGGGTCTCAGTGCTTTCTCTGCTGTTGGGTATTTTATTTGCCTTTCTAGGGAGTTCTGGTGGTGTAGTGTTACGCATTGGGCTGCTAACTGCAAAGTCAGCAGTTCGACACCACCAGCCACTCTGCAGGAGAAAAATGGGCTTTCTACTTCCACGAAGATTTATAGTCTCAGAAACCCACAGGGGTACTTCTATTCTGTCCTGTAGGGTCGCTCTGAGTCGGCATCGACTTAATAGCAGTGAGTTTGAAGGTTTGAGTGTTTTCAGCCGGAGCCACCATGCACCATTAACAGGTTGCTACTCAGGCTAATGAACTTGAAAGATGGGTAGCACATCATTACTGAGGAAGTTAGTGCTCCTACTAATTAAGATATTCAAGGTGCTTTTAGAATTGTGCCTTGGTGTCTGAGAGGCAGTAGTTCCAGGTCCCCATGGATACCAAAATCCCTTATATACAATGGCATAGTACCTGCATTTAACCTATGCATATATGCCTGTATTCTGCGAGTCATCTGGAGATTACCTATACATGCTGACGCTATATAAGCACGACCTTAAGCTCCTTCTTACACTTTAAGAGATTGTGTTAACCACTTGACTGCTTCCTGTCCTCGAGTATTGTCCATCTTGCATTTGGTTGAATTAGCAGTATAGTATGAATACAGAGGGCCATATGATTTAAGAGAAATATCCATTAAATACTAGTGTAGACACAATCCTGCAATAATACTGATCCAGAAGCAGATGCTTACATAGACATGTAGGCTGCACAGGTATGGGAGAGAGGGAGTGTATACCCACAAATGTATACAGATTTGACAGAGGATATTTGTATGTGTGTTGATCTTTGCTGCAAAGGTGCCCGGGAATGTGGTAGAGCATAAAGGAGGCAAAGTTATGATACTTCTTAGACATATCCACACTCCTTAGAGGAACAAGTTGCTGGTCCTAGGGGATCCAGATCATAAACTTGGGGGGACACCAAAGTCTATTTGCACAGCATAGTTCACAACGAAAATGTTCTACATGCTACTTAGGTGCATGCTACATGCTACATAGTTTACAAAGAAAATGTTCTACATGCTACTTAGGTGCATGCTACATGCTACATAGTTTACAAAGAAAATGTTCTACATGCTACTGGGGTTTTAAAACCTCCTGAGCTATTAAGGTCCATCCATTAGCCTCTCAGATCCAGAAGAAAGAAGAGTGATGAAAATCAAAAGACATGTGGAAACAATGAATCCAATGAGCTAAGGAACCACAAAAACATGTCTTCACAACCGTGGGATCAGAGGAACTAGATGGTGCCCACCAACCGCTCTGAAAAGCAGTTAGAAGGTCCTGGATAGAGTGGAAGAAAAATGTGGAACAAAACTCAAAATCCTGAAAGAGGCGAGGCTTACTGATTAGAAAGAGACCCCTGAGATCATGGCCCTTAGCTATCTTTCATCTCTGAAACAGAACCCTCTTCTGAGTTAAGAATAAGTAACCATTCAGATCAGAAGGGCAACATCAAATGGGTAAAATCAAGAGCAAAGTCTAGAGGGTTAAGAAAGAAGGATGAGACAGGAAATACCAGGAGAAAGTGATGATTCAATGAGAGAGTCATACCCAGGCATGGAAACCTTTTTTAAAATCATCTTATTAGGGGCTCATACAACTCTTATCACAACCCACACATCCATCAATTGTGTAAAGCACATTTGTACATTCATTGCCCTCATCATTCTCAAAACCTCTACTCTCCACTTAAGCCCCAGGCATCAGCTCCTCATTT